GTGAGGAGACCTGGGGTGAGGGATTCTGGGTGAGGAGGCCTGGGTGAGGGATTCTGGGTGAGGAGGCCTGGGTGAGGGATTCTGGGTGAGGAGACCTGGGGTGAGGGATTCTGGGTGAGGAGGCCGGGTCTGAGGAGACCTGTGGGAACCTGGGATGGGAGGGCCTGAGCAGGAGAGCTGGGTGTGGCCTTGCCCAGCTCTGTCACCTTTCTCCAGCACAGCCCGGCTTTATGCGGAGTCTCACAGCCCAACTTGCCCACCAAGGCCGCTAGTGGACGTGTCTGGCCCGCTCAAAGGTCATTTGCCAAAATTTGCAGCATGGACAGAGCACACAGACCCTTTGCCTCCCACTTTTCTAAACATCCTCCAGCTGGAGCGGGCGGGGCCTGTCATAGTTAGGCCTTCGAGCTCAGTTTTACATTTGTAGAGCGTGGTGTTGACAGTAACTGGAGAGAAGATATCTACCGCCCTGTGCTGGCTGGGCTCACGTTGTTTTAAATAGAGCCTAGCGGCCATTTCTACACAGGAGCCCGTCATGCACACTGCAGGCAGGGGAGGCCTGCGTCGAACCGCCCGCCTGTACTGCAGCTCTGCCTCGGAGCCAGCCTTATAAAGGAGCTCCCGGAATCCTATTTCAACCATTAGCATGGAGGCTTTCCATACCCCATCAGAGCTGTGTAGCTATTATTTCCCCGCCCCCACCCCACCCCACCCAATCAGCTTCTTCGGGTCTAGTAATAATTAATGTCTTTTTCAAACATTCGTTTAAAATCTTGCTTGGCGTTGACTTGTATTGACATAACCTTCAAACACGTGGTATCTACAGAACGTGTGAAGTGCAATTAACAAGTTTTGCTTGAAAAAGTTTGTGTTTGGTTTGGTTTTTGTTGCAAAACTAGGGCTAAGAAGATGGCGGATGAAGAGCATATTCGGCACTGCATGCTTTACGAGTTCCAATTAGGAAGAAAAGTAAGTGAGGCTGCAAAAAACATCTGTAGTGCTCTTGGTCAAGATGCAGTTAGCGCCAGAAAATGCCAGCGTTGGTTTGAGAAATTTCGCGAGGGAAATTTTTTGTTAGATAACAAGAGTGGTCGAGGCCATGTGTCCAATTTTGATCAAGAAGCTCTTCAAGCTCTTTTGGTGCAAAATCCTCAAATTACCCAACAAGAGCTTGCGACAACTTTAAATTGTTCACAAAAAACAATTTCCAATCAATTGCGTGCACTTGGCAAAGTCCAAAAGTTTGGAAAATGGGTTCCTCATGAGTTGACCGACAACAACCGTAATCAAAGAGTCACAATTTGCAGTTCGCTCCTCTCTCGTCAAAACCGTTTGCCGTTTTTAGAGCAAACTGTTACCGGAGATGAAGAATGGGTGCTGTATGTTAATTTGAAAAGGCGGCCTCAATGGTTGGACAAAAATGAGGCTCCGCAGCCCACACCAAAACCTGACTTGCATGCGAAAAAAGTGATGTTGTGTGATTGGTGGAATTTTAAAGGAATTCTTCATTATGAACTTTTACCATCTAACCAAACCATTACAAGTGCAGTGTATAGTGCCCAATTGGAAAGGTTAGCCCAAGCTTTAAGAGAAAAAGAACCCGTGCTGATTAATCGGAAGGGCGTAATTCTTCACCACGATAACGCACGACCGCATACTGCAAGAATCACTGCTGAAAAACTGCGCCAGTTGGAATGGGAAGTTCTCCCTCAACCTGCATATTCTCCTGCTATTGCCCCTTCCAATTACCATTTGTTTCATTCTTTGCAAAACTTTCTTCTTGGAAAAAAATTTAATAACAAAGAATGCCTCAAAAATGCATTGAACAAATTTTTTGCATCAAAATCACAAGAATTTTACAACAGAGGGATTAAAATGCTTCCTGAGCGTTGGGCACAAGTAGTAGAAAACAACGGCAACTATGTTGTTGATTAAATTTTGTTGTATTGTTTAAATAAATTCGATTTAAAAAAGTATTAGAAAACGACATTAATTATTACTAGACCTAATATTATTTCCCCACCCCCACCCCGCCCCACCCAATCAGCTTCTTCACCTACCAGAAAGTGGCTCCCTTCTGGCCAATCAGGACAGGGGTCAGCTTCATTCCCTCCTGTCAGACAGATCCGCGCCTGGGAGACTTAAGAGGGGGGAAATGATGTCCAGATTCCTGTAAATCTAGTGTCTATCTCTGAGACCAAGTTCTGCACCAGGAAGGCAGCCGACAGGGTCCAGGCAGGCGGAGGGAGCCCCACACTGAGCCCAGGCCCTGCTAGGGTGGGGATGCAAGTCCTGGATCCCATAGAGACCCCTGTCCCCTGACAGAGAACAGGAGTCTGCACTTGTGGGTCTAGCCCAGGTGTCGGCAACCTGCGGCTCCAGAGCCACACTCGGCTCTCTTGAAGCTTCACCGCGGCTCCGACAACTTGCAAGCCCGTGTGAAAGTGAAGGTAACGTCTTACAGCCCTGATGTGCTGACACTGTGCACTGAGGTTCAGGAGCAAAAATCCCATTAATCAGGTAAATTAAATATTTTAATTAGCTATTAATTTGCAAAAATATATTTTACATTGTTAAGTGAAAAAGTCCTTTTTTTCTTCAGATTGACAGCTAACTGCACGATCCGGTATATAGCATGAAGGTAAGAAACAATATATGCAGCGTTATATTTGTTTTAAATGTCGCAATGGTTTTGCGGCTCCCAGGTTTTTTTTTCTTTCAGAAACGGGTCCAAGTGGCTCTTTATGTCTTAAAGCAGGCATCCTCAAACTTTTTAAAGTGGGGGCCAGATCACGGTCCCTCAGAGAGCTGGAGGGCCGGACTATATGAACTACTAATTCCTACTGTAACACCTCGGCTGCGCTCACTGCCCAAAAAACCTGGCGGGCTGGATCAGACTCCTCTGCGGGCCGCATGTGGCCCGCGGGCCGTAGTTTGAAGACACCTGTCTTAAAGGTTGCAGACCCCTGGTCTAGAAGCTTACGTTATTTTTGCAAATCATTTTCAAACGTTCAAAGAAAATGTGAACACTGCCTACAGGCTTTCAGGAGCTGTGTAGCCAGGTGAGGTGCTCTCCTGCTGACCGCCTCCTCACCTCTGCCCGCCTCTGCCCGGGCTGCCTGCCCTCTCCGTGGGGAACCATGAGGAGGAGCCTCAGTCTCCGGAGAAGCCAAGTGGCACTGTCCCCCACATGGAGCTGGAGCTGACAGCAGCCGGGGGTGGCACTGGGTAGCTCAGAGGTGACCTGGTGAGGGACAGGCCGAAGGTGGGAGCCACATCGGGAACGGGCAGGGACAGCACCCATCCGTGGGTCCTGTCTGTTTGGGCATTTCCTCCCCTTCTTCTCTGAGCCCTCCTCGGAGACCCTACCTGGAAGGTGTCAGAGGGACCCACACACCGTTTTTATTCTTCCCAACACTGACAGCAGCACTGCCAGGGTCTCGCCGCCCCCTGGGAGGCCTGGCCTCAATCGCCCTGTCCCAGGAGGGGCCCCTGCAGGCGTGGGGCTCGGGCCGCAGTTTCTAGGCCAGGGAAGAGCCGTTAGTGGAGCTAATTTCAGAAGCTGTTTGGTCCCCGTGGGCCCACTCTGGGAGCCTGCAAGATGGCGCCCAGCGGGAGGGCAAGCGCCACTGCCCCTCCAGTGCCCCCTCCCAGAGTATCCTGGGCCTCTGAGCGTTCTGGACCTGCCAGCCCCCAGAGGCTCCTGAGAACCTGGGCGCGTTTGGGACCCCCAGGAAGGTGAGAAATAGGAGTCACGGGTTCCCCAACTCTCACCAAGGAGTGGGCTCACGGGCTCCTTCAGCTCGGCCACCACGCGCACCTGCCGAGGCAGCACAATGACGCTCTGACCCCGAGGGTCCCCATGGCCGTCCGGGACTGTTCAGCACAGACTGGGAAAGCTCCCACCTGCAGGCCAGCCCAGTGTGCGGAGGACGCCCAGGTGAACTCGGTCGGGGCCTCTGAGCCCTGTGGTGCTCCTCAGTGGATTTCAGCTGTGACCACGTTGAGCTTTCTAACCCCACTTCGGAGAATTCCAAACACACCTGCAAGCAGGCTCCTGGAGCCGCCACGGGCCCATCCATATCCAAGTCTCCCCAGGGCTTCTCTTGGGGCATTGTTGAGCCAGAGCCTTTCCTGGGTGTCAGGTCTACCCAGGCCCCTGAGGGCAAGGCATGACTGGGTAGTGGGGCCTGGGTCTCAGTCCCAACCTTGAGCCAGTCTTTGAGGGTCGACCAGGAGCCCTGCCCTGAGCCCCCCACCAGTGTGAGCAGGGCCCCAGCCCCAGCGAGCCCAGGAAGCCCAGGCAGGGCACCTGAGTGGCTGGCAGGCAGATGGGCACAGGCCCTGGGGCATGAGATGGGGGTGGGGGTGGGGGTGGAGACAGGCCAGCACTGGAGCCATCTGCCGAGAACACGGATGCCTTTGCTCTAAGCCGCACCCGCCCAAATCCATAATAAAAATAATCCCCAATTTCCCCGATTTGCCCCAGTTTCAGAGCGCCGCCTGAGCTGTCATGTGCCTGCTCCAGGGGCTGAGGTGCCACTGACCCCTTTTACAAAATCACCACAAAGGACCCAAGTGTCTAAAGGGGCAGGGGCACCGCGTCCACCTTCCAGGTGGGCAGTGACCAACCGAGAGGCTCTGGCCCAGGAGAGGCCACAGGAGCACCGCAAAGGCCCAGGGCGCCTTGGGCTCTGGCCTCCTTACGGACCGATTAGGGAGCTGGGTCCTGCTACCTGGGGGCCCACCCAGGATGCAGCCTGGCACCTGCATCACCCAAGGACCTTGGGGACACAACTTCCCCGAGGGGAGCAGAGCAGCAGGCCCAGGGGCACACCCAAGGCGTTGTCAGAGAAGGGGTGCAGCCTCGGTCCTGACAGCGTCTGCCCAGAACTTCATCACCGAGAACCAAAGCCGACCCGGAACTGCATCCCCCACCCCTGGAGGCTGGCCAGGCTAGGCCGAGTCCCCAGGGCCAGCTCAGAGCTGAGGAGGGCGGGTGGAGGATAGGGGCGGTGCCAGGGACCGGCCCCAGGTGGCAGGAGTGGGCGGGCACCTGCTGGGCTCTGCCTGCCTGTGTGCCAGGCTCACTCGCCCATCACTTAGTCTTCAGTCACTTTGTCATCACTCGGCCCTCGCATCACTTCTCCCTCGCCGTCACCACCCAAGGTAAGTCTGATGAACTGGTCCCTGAGGCTGAGCAGGGAACGGAAGCCCAGGGCTCTGGGACTTGGCCATGTCCCACTGGGCTGACCTGGACAGACCTAGGCAGAGACGAGATGGCCCTGCCTGCCTGTCTTCCAGTGGAGGATGGCCGCCCTGAGTGTCCCAATGGACCAGGCCTGGTGGGGGAGACCCGTCTGCAGGGGGGTGGGGCAGAGCAGCCTACAGGCAGGGGAGCCGGTTCCCTCCGTGCACCAGGCTCGCTGCCCCGCAGTGCCCACCAAGCACTGTGCTGGGGGCGCGGCGGGCTGTGGGGTGGGCAGTGTTTGGGACTGAGGCCGGGCTCAGCAGCGGCTTCACACAGGGAGGGCCAGTTGGAGGGGGCTGTGGACAGGGCCACTGCAGTTCCACAGCGGGGATGCCCCCATTTCTGTCTGAGAGCCTGGTGTGGGGGGTTGGGGTGCTGGAATTTGGGGTCTCTGGGAGAGGAGCCTGCAAACCCCTTCAGATACCAATTGTCCCTCAGATACCCTGCTCCACTGGGCTCTCATTCTCACTCCTGACTGACCATCCCAGAACCCCCTCCCAGTCTGTGCACTCCCCAACCACCACAATGGCCAGAACCCATCCCCTCCCACTGACACACACACACACACACACACACACACACACACACACACACACACACGTCTCCATGGAGACAGCCTGAGGCCACAGGGTCATACTTCTGTCAGCCTGCGGACCACTTGCCCACCTGCCCCAAGTCAAGAAAGCCAGTCCCTTGTCTCCCAGCCTCAGTGAGGGTGGGAGTGGAAGGAGTAGGGGCAACAAGGGACTCCCTGGGCCCCTGGAGTGAACTGGGTGGGGGACTTACAGAGCAACCTGCCCTCATGTGTCCCCAACTGCCGGATCTCCTGAGAGGCTGCCAGTTGGTTCACAAGCAGAAACTGGGTCACGATGCTTGTGAAGTTCCAGGGTAGACACTGGGCAGCAGGAGGGGGCAGCTGTTCTGAGTCCTGACCTACTGGACAGCCTCTGACCTCCAAGATCCCCGGCACCCCAACCCCCCGCCAGAGATGCAAAATGCAGTCAAATCCTCCAGCCTCAGGATTCACATGCCCTCGGTGGGGGCTTTGTCCATGCAAAGGTTACACCTCTTTGCATACACCTCTACAGCCAGCATGGGAAGCAGGCCTCGCAGGAGGCAGGGTTTGTGTGGGCTCTTGGGAACCTGTCTGGGGTGTGTCGGTCCTGCTATCTCCCAGCAGGGACAGTGCCCCATGTCTCCGACCCAGAGGCCCAGCCATGGTGAGGCTGATTGGGTGGGGACAGAGCTAAGGGTGGAAAGTTTCTCTGCAGTTAATTAGCCCCTGGGGTAGGGCATCTACTGGAACCTCATTAGTGGAGCCTCAGATCCAGCCCTGCACCCCAGCACTGCCGTGTGGATCTGGGGAAGCATGTGGGGCTGGTGGTGCACCTCCCCGGGCAGTGGGTTGTCAGTGTGAAGGACAGGGTCCCTCCTTTCATGTAGGGGTCTTATCGGTGGGAGGGACCATCTGGGGGCCGTTGCAGGCTGGAATCTCTATTGCCTCTTCGTGTCCTCCAGCCTCAGGCTGGCGACTTCCGAAGCCCCCGAAGGCATGGAGGAGTGGGACGTGCCCCAGATGAAGAAGGAGGTGGAGAGTCTCAAGTACCAGCTGGCCTTCAAAAGGGAGATGTCATCCAAGAGCATCCCTGAGTGAGTGCCCAGGACCCCGAGCCTCAGCCTCACCCCCCCACCCCCCAGGGCCAGCTGTTGATTTGCACCTCATTTCCATGCCCTGGGCTCATTTACTTAAGCTCAGACCCTCACATGTAACACTGGGCAGCACGTGAGGGGCAAGGTGCCCACCTGCTCACCCCACTCTCCCCACCCACAGGCTCCTCAAGTGGATCGAGGATGGGATCCCCAAAGACCCCTTCCTGAACCCTGACCTCATGAAGAACAACCCGTGGGTGGAGAAAGGCAAGTGTGCCATCCTGTGAGCCCACAGCCCGGCTCATGCCTGTGAGCGGACAGCTCTGTGAAGGTGTGAGTTGTATAGCCTTCCCCTCCCGCTCCTTCTCCTAATCTAAGGGGCCCCAGGAGACTCGCAGCCAGGGAACAACGGCCAGGGGCTAACCCCGAACCTGTCCCCAAGGCCCCCTTTTCCCGGACTTTGCAGTGAGCTGGCAGCAGCTGGGCCTTGGCTCACTTCTGTCACTTAGTTCTCAGTGAGCCAAGCAGCCCTGCCTGGGCTCCCTCCCTCCTGCTGCTGCGTGAGTCCTAAGACATTCCTTGTCACTGTCCCCAGCTTTAATAAATGTACTCTCAAAATGGAAATTAAAAATAACAGGAAGCACCACCATAGTGTCCAGTGTGGATTCTGGGGCATCCGGTGTAAATCAGAGAATCCAGCAGGGTCCTGGGCACCCCGGAGGAGTGGGGCGAGCCTCTAGCATAACCAGGTGTCCTGTGACCGGCTACAGCAGGTCCCAGATGTGCAGGTTGCGTCCAGCAGGGTCCTGGGGACTGCGGAGGAGTGGTGCGAGCCTCTGGCATGGCTTGGGGTCTGTGACCAGCTACAGCAGGTCCCGGATGTGCAGGCTGCGTCGCACAGCGTTGGAGACGCCCTCCTTGAAGCGGAACCAGACGTCGCTCCTGCCCACCGCCGTGCCCATGCGCTGCTCAACCGCGTCAGTCTCAGGAGCCGTGTCCTCTGTGGGGACCACAGGGTTGATCCTCTGCCCGACCCCAGCCCCTCCCTCCACAGCTCCCACACCCACGCACACCTGCACTCGGGGCTGCTGCTCTCCTGATGACCACGCGGCCGAAGAAATCCCTCTCGGTCTGCAGAGGGTGGTGGTCAGACTCATGGGGACAGACATATCCAGGACACCCCCTGCCATGAGGGAAGCTCTCCCCAGGAGGATGGGTCATGGCACCTCTGAACCATGGCCCACAGCTGAGGAGTAGGCACCTCTCCCAGCCCGCTCCCCTCATCCTGCACTGACCTACTCAGCAAGTGTCCCCTCTGCCCCTTACCACCCTCTCAGCTCCTGGTGCATCGGGGCCAGGGCAGGAGGTGCCAACAGAACCCAGCCTCCTGCCCAAGTGGAAAACAGCCCAGGTGAAGCCCTACCCTGCTGAGCAGCAGGGAACTGGATGTTTAGGGGGACCCCCAGAGCTTAGAACCAGCCTTTACCAGGTAACACAGCTGACCCCGTGCCCCCTTTCAGCCCCCAAACCTGGTCCTCCAGGGCTGCTCTCTTCAGGATGCTCTCCAGCCGCTGCTCGTGACTGCGTGGGGTGGGTGGCTGTGGCCCTTTCCCCCCAGTGGTCCCCTGTGGGCCCTTGGCCTTGGAGGGACTGCCATCCACCTGCAGGACGTGGATGCGATGAGAGCGGACGGGGCAGGGCCGTTCCAAGGGCAGTATCCATCCTGAGGCCCTGCTCTGCCCCAAGCCAGAGGTGGGCTCACCTGGGGGCTGTCCCCATCCCGGGCCAAGGCCTCTGCCCGCCGCATCTTCTCCACTTCGATCTCACGGGCAATAAGCTGCTTGGCCTGGTAGGTGAGGGGCTTTCGGGCAGGCAGCTCAGGGAAGCGGCAGACCTCCTCCAAGTTCCTGCTCGGGGCGGGGTGCGGGGGGAGGGGGGCAAGACAGCCGGGCACCTGCTCAGTGGTGACGCAGCAGGGGCACCCCACCACAATGACTCCAGATGCCAGAACGAGAAAGCTGCAGGACAGGGGCCTCCCTAGGGCTACAAAGGGAGGGAATGAGACATGGCAGGGCTGGGGCTCAGGCTGGGCTCCGTGCTCAGAAACCGCCATTACTGCCTCTTTGCCATCAGCCTCCCAGACACTGGGCAGCAGGACCCTAGGCCCGTGGTCCATCCCCACAGCCGTCTCAGGACAGGGGACAGCCCTAGGGAGCTGAGGACCCGCTGGTGGGGCTCCTGGGGACCACTGAGGCAGAGAGGGTCTATAGTAGAAGCCTCAGGTCCTGGGCTCTCTCTGCCCAACAGTCACTGTGGGCAGGAGCTGAGCTAGAACCAACACTCCCGCCAACCTCTGACAAATGGGGAAACTGAGGCTCACACGCCTCACCAAGGCCATGCTTTTCCACTCCCGGCCCAGCCCCCCACTACCCTCATTCCAGGTGCTGCAGACTCACGGCTCCAGCCTGTAGACATACTGCCCGTCGGGCGTGCGCTCCTGGCGGTAGGTCAGGCTGTAGGCAAGCATGGTGCCCACAAGGCTGCTCAACTGCAGCTTCTCACGGGCGCTGTACAGCTGCGTGCTCACCTGCGGGCAGGCAGGCAACGGGTAGGAACACGGAGCACAGGCCAGGAACCCAGTCCAGCAGGAAGCCGCACCCTCCTTCTGGGGGAGGCACTCACAGGGCGGAGCTTAGGGACGAGGATGTCCAGCAGCAGGCAGAGGGTGTCCAGGACGAGGGCCGAGGGCGCTGTTTGGTTGCGAGTGGCCGGAGCAATACCTGATACCAGTGTCTGGATCAGGTTCTGCACCTGATTTGTCCGGTTCTGGGCCTGGGGTGGAGGGTAAACCAGAATCAGGTCAGCCAGGACCCCCTAGGATCCCAGGCCCGGCTGAGACAGGGGCAAAGGGTAAGAGGCAAAGGGTAAGGGGTAAGGGGTAAGGGGCAAGGGGCAAGGGGCACGGTGCAGGGCACACCTCCTGCTGGCTGTTCGGGAAGGCGATCCTAGGCACATGGCTGGAGGCAAACAGCAAGTGGAAGGTCACAAGCAGGAAGGGCTGGTAGCGCAGCAACTGGAAGCTCTGGCTGTGGTAGGCGGCCTGGCCCAGCGTGTCCTCAAAGGCTAGCCAGTCGAGGGCTGTACACACGGAGCCCAGGCTGGAGTCCCGCAGCCGCAGCCGCAGGAAGTTGTCAAACAGGCCCTGTGAGTAGCGGGTCTCTGAGTCCCTCCAGCATCATGCCCGCCCCCACTTCCCCACAGCACAAGGGACCCTTCACTACCCATCTACCCTGCCAAGTCTGGGGACTCAGGATAGCACCGAGCACCAGTGAGTGGCCACATGGCCCTGACAGGGTGCCAGGAAGGCCCATCTGCTGTCCCCACTCTGGTCTGACGAAGATCCTGGGATGTGCAGGAAAGAACCCCCCTCCATCCCTCCCTAGAGGGTGTTGTCCACCCTAATGGGCAGAGCCCACACCCTCCTTCTACGCAGACATCCCATCCCCTCAGCACTTGCTCTGCCCTCTGCAGCCAGGCGCTTCTGGATTTGCGCGGATCCCTAACCACGAACCCAAAGAGGCTTAGTTAGGGAGGAGGCTTAGGCCGGGCTCTCAAGGTTGAGAGTGCATCTCTGCCACCTGCTCAGGCCAAAATCCCTACCTGCTCTCTAATCGCACCCCATCCCACAGCTCATGTCCAGAACCAAGCCCCCCTCCAGCCTGGACAGGCTCCCAGCTGCTGCCACACTGCACAGTGGTTCCCAACTGATAGCCGGTGACCCCATCAATCAAAACGACCCCCTTCCCCACACCCAGCCCACTGCCATGCTGGCAGCCACCCCCCTCCCAGCACCAGCCGGCCTCTCCTCCGGTCCTCGGTGCTGCTCAGATCCCGAGGCCTCTCTGATGCCCTGTCTGCCCCACCTCCTTCCCATACCACCTGCTGCTTCTAGAGCTTGGCGCTATCCGAACTGTCTCCTGTTCGCTGTCTGGGGACCAGGGAACACCCCACCCCGGCGCCCTGGAAAAAAGGTTCAGGTAGAGTGTAGTTACCTGGACTACCTTCTCGTGCTCGCCCGAGGAGGCGGCCACATGCAGGATGTGGTAGAAGCGCTGTGCGGCCATGGTCAGGGGCGCCTCGGCGGCCTGGGGCCCGAGCCCCACGGGCCCATCGCCCAGCAGGAGCGTGCGGGCAGGCAGGGTTGGGTCCTGGCCCACACGTTGCCTGCGGAGGGTTGCTGAAGCTGGAGTGGAGCCCCCACCCACTTTATTCCCGGTGGCAGCACCCTCCCGCCTCAAGGCCGCCCTCCCGCCTCGAGGCCGCCCCAAGGAGGCGGCGGTGAGGGAGGCTGAGGCACAGCCTTGAAAGCAGGGCCCAAGCAGCCTTGGTTTCTGTTGGCAAAAAGAGGGGCCGGCTGTACACACAGGGTTTCTGTCCGGGGCTGGGGCACCACGGATGTCCAGGCTGAGCCTGGCCCGCCCTCTTTCTGCCACCCACCTACCTCTGGGCCCGGGGCAGCTGGAAGACCTCCTGCCACACGGAGAAGAGCCCCCTGCGCTGGTCCTTGAGGCCGACTCGTGTGGTCTGCACGGCCTGGACACTCAGCTCCCGCTGGCCTCGCCCGTGCAGGAACTGGACAGGGTGCAGGGGTTGAGAGGTGGCTGCCCCCCGTGCCACCCCCAACAGCCAGCTTCCTCCCCGCCCACCTGCAGGGTGTTGATGCAGGCTCGGATGTCATTGTCTGTCTTCTCACAGAGGGCTGCCAGGGCGCCCGGGTCCGCCTGCAGGCCCTGCCGCAGGGAGATCTGCAGGAGGCAAGAGCATGGGTACCACCCCCTCTCAGAGCTCCACCCTGTAGGCACCTCCTCCCTAGAAATAGGTGAGTAGCTGCTCTGATCCACAGGAGACAAAAACTATAGGCATTGGGGACCACCCACCAACAGAGAGCAAAGTGATCCAGTCACCCTCACCCCAGACCTGGGATGGGGGAAAGGGAGTGGCAACAGAGAGGGGGTAGTGCCCTGGATGGCAGAGGGGAGGGGTGTAGAGAGGTGAGGAGGGGAAGGTGAGACCATGACAGGAGTCACGACCCCCCACCCTGTCGTCAGCCATGCAGCCCCAGCCTCGTTCTCCTCCACCTCCTCCTCCACCTCCACCTCCACCTCCACACCCCCACTGACCTCCTGCAGCCGCTGGACGAGTCTGGAGGGTAGCGTAGGTGGAAAGTGGAGCAGGAAAGCCTGCTGCTTCAGCTGCCGCAGAGAGGGCGCAAACCTGCAGGATGGGCACAGGGTGTGGGGGAAACTCTCATCCAAATCCCAGCCTCAAACCCACTGGGTGGCCAGGTGGGGCTAGCATGTGCCATCTCAGGGCCCGGGGCCTCCTGTGGACCCCGCCCGGTGGAGCACCCTCAGGCCCTCACCTTCAAAACCCTGCCCCACCCTACTCACTGGTCATTACAGATGCAGATGACTGGCCTCATCAGGAGACCCCCCTGTGCCCGCGGCCGCCGCGCCTCACCCGCCAACACGGCCCGGCCCCCCAGCTCTGCCTCCTTCGGGCCCTTGCGGTCAATGATGCTGAGGAGCACGTTGATGGCAGCCTGGGGGGACATGCAGGGGGTGGAGTGAGCCACAGCCCAGACTGCCCGCCTGCCCACCCTCTGGCCAGGCACCCAGGAGGCCCACCGTGGGGGCCCCATCAATCTCATCGATGACCAGGCAGTTGGGCTTCCCGCCAATGCCTAGCACCGACTCCATCTGCGTGGCCGCCTCAATGTGCGTGCGGAAGGCCTCGGGACTGCGGTCGTCACTGTAACCATAAAGCAGGGAGGGGCCGTCAGGGCGGCAGTGGCCTCGGCCAGGGCAGCAGCCAGTGTCCCCAGCAGGATGGTCCCCCAGGGCCAAGCTGCTACACTTCCACCTCGAGGCTACCCTGCGACATGACTGCTCCAAATCCCAATGCCCCCAGGACCCAGCGTCCCAGATTCCACCAGACATATCAGGACAGACAGGAGGCCCAGAGGCCAGGCCTTCCCTTCCACTCACCTTGCATTCATTTCCACCACACAGTACCCAGCATGCCTTGCGATCACGTGGGCCAGAGTGGTCTTGCCCAGCCCAGGGGGTCCGCATAGCAACGCTACCTGCAACCAAGACATAAGACAGGCTGCAACCTGCACCCTGTGAGGGAGCATCTGACCCAACCACCAAGGCTGCTAATCCTGTGCCATGAGGTTTGGTGCCAGGGAAGATCCATATCACCCCACACCCACCTGGTCATCCAGTGAGAACCCCAGCATGCCCATGGCTCAGAAGGAGCACTTTGGAACGAGAGAAAACCCTGAATAAAGACAGTGATGGGGAGACCTGACAGCGCCACGGCCGATACTGACATGACTGACCCCTCAAAACCACTCACTGTCTGCCACAATATCCTTCGGGAGGTACTGGGCCCTTTAAGGGACACTGACCTTACCTAAGTCATTAGCTCAACCAACTCCCACTCCCATCACTGACCCCCACACCATCACGGCATCATGCCCTCACCATGCTGAGGAGCACACTGCGCATGCCTTGTGGTCCCCAGGGGAACAAGGCACAGCCAGTGAGTGTAACCTGGGCTCAGAGACAGGTGCAGGGCAGAGGGCGGCTCACCTTCTGCCGGGGCCGCCGGCTCAGGTCCAGCTCGGCCTCCAGCATCTCCTCCAGCACCTGCTCGTGGCTCTTCCACTTGCCGGAAGCGGGGGCCTCCTTGCCAGCCCGGGCCGGCTCCACACCCGGCCTGGGCTTCCGGGCCGGCCTCTCGCGGCCGAACACCACCAGGTCCCACAGCTTCAGCCACTTGAGGAGGCAGCGGTTGGTGAACTGTGGGGAGGGAGGTATTGCCTGGGAGGACCACCAGTGACTCCCAGTCCTCCCCTCATGCTGTCCGAGGACACACAGGGATGCTGAGGCTGAGTAACAGGTGACCCCCACTCATCCTACTGGTGAGCGGCAGAGTGAGGCTCACACAGGGGCCTCCATTCCCATGCCCTGGCCCTGACCCCTCCAGGAGCCCCAGGGGCACCCCACCCAGGGGCATCAGTTGCTGAGAGGAAAGGACACAAAGGCTACAGACACGGGGTGCTCTGGGTCCTCAGCCCACAGCAGAGGTGACCAGCAGCATGCCGGTTCAATATTGCCTCAGTTTCCCCATCTACAACTCAGCAAGGCACACCAGAGCCCTGCTTTCCCTTCCAACAGGGCTGTGGGCTGGTGACACGTTACTTGCTGGGCCCTGAATCCCCCCCCCCTCCTGGCAACAAAAGAGCCAGGCACACTGAGCAGGTGCCAGGCCTCACGTCGTCACTGAGCAGCTCCGTGTAGTGCCGGGGCGCAAACTCGTCCACCCAGAGGCTGTGCTGCGTGTCTTCCTGGCGGTCGGCCGGCACCTCCTCCGGGGCCTCCCCCTCCGTCTCCTCCGTCCTGAGGCTGAAGAGCATTGGGCCTGAGCCGCGGGCCTTCACCCCAGCAGGGATTGCTCCCCGCCCGGAATGCAGGCTGGGGGTCAGTAGTTCAAGAACTGCTGAAGGTCCCAGGAGCAAAAGGGCCACCACAGCACCTGTGCAGCGTGTCTGAGAGCCGCTGGGCCTCTTCGAGCAATCGCTGCCGCCGCTGTGCACAACAGGGCATGGGGTCAGGACGGCTCCGACGGCCAGCCGCCCGCCCCAGAGCTGCCCCTCTCCTCCCAGCAACCCCAGCAGAGCCCACCTCACTGTCAACCTGCTCCTTCAGAGAAGCGAAAGGCACGCCCAGCAGGTCCAGGCGGCCCCGGCCACGCCAGTGGGTGTCCAAGGAAGGGCTCTGTGGGGGAGAGAGAGCAGCAGTCACCTCCAGACACCGGTTACCCGCGACCCCCTCCCAACAATGCTCAGAGGCCTAGGTGCATCCCCCAGCACCAGCAGGCCTAGGGATGGAGGAGCCCCTCTCTAAGGACTGGAAGAGGAAAAGCCACTAGGAAGGGGGCAGCTCCAGGAGGGAGGAGAAAAGCAGAGGGGGAAGAAGGGAAAGAGAGGAAGAGTCCTCCTATGGATAGGAGGGAGGCTGTGGCCAGCCCAGACTCTCTGCCCCCCCATGGCCACACAGCACCCACCTGCACCCCAGTGCCCCCGGGGTCAGCCCGCAGCACCAGAAAGGCCCGGTCTCCGCCCGTGGAGGTCACGTTGACGTAGTCCTCCAGGACAGGGGGTCGCCTCAGGACCGGGTTGCGAGGGGCCGGGGAGGCCAGTTTGAGCCCCAGGTCAGCACCAGGGTCCGCGGTCCTGAGAAAGGACCAGGCTGTCTTGCACTTTGCTTCCTGTCACCCTGAGGCAAGGAGCCCGGGTTCACCCTCTGCTGCCCACCCTCCCGCAGGCCCACAGCCCCAGGCCTTGGGACCTGGTCTGAAAAAACGAGCCCCTTCGATTCCAAGACTCTACGGCAGGCAAGCAAGCCACACACCCCTCGCCCCACAGCTCAGCGGGGACCTCCGGACTGGGTGGGGGGGTGATGTCCCGAGGAGGGGAGTCGGGAAGCGGCGGCTCTTCCATCTCATCCTGCCCGAAGTTCAGCCTCTTGACCGCCTCCAGCCTGGGCCGCTTGACCCTGGGAGCTGGGGAAACAAACACACACTCTGGGAAGAAGCAAGGTGCTTCCCCCGCCCTGCCTGCCATCCCTGGGGTTTCCATGATGGACGTACTGAGGAGTCCGTCCCTCTCGGCGTCGGTGGCCAGCTGCCTCCTCCTGGCACCCCTGCGGCTCCCTGAGCGTCCATCGGGAGAACAGGGCGCCGCAGCGTCCCCTCCAGCAATGGCTTCCTCAAACGACGGCCGGACCCTGTCCCTGCAGGGTGACAGAGCCTCTCTCCCTGCTGAGGGGGAAGATGCACAGCAACCGCCTCAGGGCAGCCGTCCCTCCCCGCCGCGCCCCCATCCCCGAGCAGCCCGCCCCAACTCCCGGGGCAGGCCGGGCCCGCCGAGCTGCCAGTGACAAGGCCGCGCCCGGGCCCGCGCCCACCTTCCAGCTCCGCCAGCACCTCCAGCTCGTCCGCAAACTGGCTGTGGAAGTCGTCCTCGATGCCGCGCAGCTCCCGCTCATAGTCCTCCATGGCCACGCGGCCCCGCCGAGCCCGCCGGAGCCGCCGTGGGTTCCAAAGCTCCCGCGCCCCAGCTACGCGCCGCTCCCGCCCCCGCGTCCCGGCGCCGCCAATGGACAGCCGGCGTGCCCGGCGGCGCTCAGCCATTGGTCGGCAGGCAGGGCCGGCGGGGGCGGGGCTGCGCGCGCAGGCAGGGCGGAGCCGAGTCCAGGCTTGGCGGCCGAAAGGCACATTCCAAGAGCTCGCTATTGGCCGACACGGCTGCCCGTCTGGGGGCGTGGGCGGGGAGTGGCCGGGGCGTGGGCGGGGCTCTGCGGGCAGGCCGGACCTGGAAAGAAGTGGTTCCGTGGCCCGAACGAAAAGTCCCAGGGTGGTGGGTCGCGAGGTGCGGGGACACGGGAGCTGGATCGGGGAGGGTCAGCGGCATCGGGGATCCGGACGGTGTGGCCCGACTGCAGGTCGGTTCCAGAGTGAGCGGGGGCGGGCTCACAGCCGGGATCCACCCAGAACCCCTGGGCCGTCGTACGTAGGAGGTAGGGGTTTCGCGGAGGGGAGTTAGGGAATGGGTGTCTGCATGGAGGGTGGTGGGTGAGAGTGAATTCCACCCCTGCACCCAGCGCCCCCCCCCCCTTGCACCCGGCTGACGTGTGCCGCCCCCGGATGCGAGGGCCGTAGCAGCCCCTCTCCTAGACCTCCTCCCCTGCCAGGAAAAGGTTCTGGATGTGTTGGCGACAGGGGTCGTGGGCGCGGGCTGGAGAGAAAGACTGTTTCTCCCAAGGCCTGGGTCCGGCCGGGACTGTGGGACTGCCCCACGTCCAAGCATCATTGGCTCCCCTCACCTTGACCACACTTGCATCCCAGTTGCCACTCTCCTACGTGGCTCAGGGGTGAGAGTAGTCAGGAGCCCAGTGGATGCAGGCACAGAGTAGGTGCATGTGTTTGCCCGATATTCAGCGTTTGTGGCTTCAGACCCAGAGCTCCGGAGAGGGGGGGTTGTCTATGAACCACATGCTTGCCCTGCAGGCCCCACCATGGAGCCAGGCAGTGTGGAGAACCTGTGCATCGTGTACCAGAGCCGGGATTTTCTGGTGGTGAACAAGCACTGGGACGTGCGCATCGATAGCAAGACGTGGAGGGAGACCCTGACCCTCCAAAAGCAGCTGCGGCACCGCTTCCCGGAGCTGGCCGACCCCGACACCTGCTACGGGTTCAGGTACCCGGGGGGCGCAGCCAGGGAGCCCGAGGCAGCCTCCACTGGAGGGAAGGGGCCGCCCCCCTCCCAGCCTCTTCTGTCCCTTTGCTCTGAGCCAGGTTCTGCCACCAGCTGGACTTCTCCACCAGCGGAGCCCTCTGCGTGGCCCTGAACAAAGCAGCTGCAGGCAGCGCTTACAGGTGCTTCAAGGAGCGGCGGGTCACCAAGGCTTACCTGGCTCTGGTAAGGCCTGGCCAGGCCTGGGGCGTGGGGACGCCGGTGTTCCGCCCACGTGGGCAGGCCCTGAGGTTCAGGTGGGCTCCCCTGACCCGCAGGTCCGGGGGCACGTCCAGGAGAGCCGGATAACCATCAGCCATGCCATCGGCAGGAACAGCATGGAGGGTCGGACCCACACCATGTGCATCGAGGGCACCCAGGGTACAGTGGGCAAGGAGGCAGGGGCCGTGGGACCTGTTTCCTCTAAGGGGATGTTGTGCTGAGGTGAACGGAGGCCCGGGGCTGACCCAGTCAACCCTCACAGCCTCTTTTCCTCCCCCCTCGCCCCCCAGGCTGTGAGAACCCGAAACCAAGCCTCACGGAGCTGGTGGTTCTAGAACATGGGCTCTATGCAGGCGACCCCGTCTCCAAAGTACTGCTGCAGCCCCTCACAGGTACATTCAGGGGCGGGGCCAGGAAGCCCCCCAGGCTCCTCACGCCCCGCCCCCTCCCCCCACACAGTGACCTGCCCCCTGGGGTGGGGTGGGCCTGGTGTCAGCATCTCCTCAAGCCTGCACCACAGTGTCCCCTTTAGGTAGGAAAGGACACTGAGGCACAGAGGCAGAGTGGCCTGTTGGGGGCCACCCCAAACAATGCTGGCAAAGCTGATTCTCTCACACACACTTCACCCCACAACGGGCGGCTCTTGCTGGTCTGGATGTGAAGGCAGTGCGACCCTGGCCCTGCCTCTGCCAGAGGTGACCCCAGAAGTAGGCTTCCCTTCTAAGTCCTTGTGCCCTCACCTGCAGCAGGAAGCAGGAAGGGCTATTGCATGTGCCTCTGAGTTGGCGGCTGGGGACAGTGGCATGGACGGTGGGTGGTGATCGTGGAATGGCACCCCGCCTCACGGGCCCTTGCTCCCCACACAGGCCGGACACACCAGCTGCGTGTGCACTGCAGCGCCCTCGGCCACCCCATCGTGGGGGACCTGACCTACGGGCAGGCCTCGGGCCAGGAGGACCAGCCGTTCCGCATGATGCTGCACGCCTTCTACCTGCGGATTCCCACGGAGGCGGAGTGTGTGGAGGCCTGCACGCCAGACCCGTTCGTGCCCGCCCTTGACGCCTGCTGGAGCCCTCACACCGTGGTACAGCCACTGAGCCAGCTCATCCAGGTGCTGCGGGCTGCCCGTGACCCTGAACCCGCAGAAGGGGGCCACTCCACGCACCTGCCCAGGCCAGGCCGGCCCCCACCGCCCCACCCCCCTGAGACGGAGGCTCAGCGGGCCTCGTACCTTCAGTGGCTGTCAGAGTGGACTCTGGAGCCAGACAACTGAGAGTGTGGGCCTGATGTGTGGGTGAAGACTGGGACCGCCAGGTGGATGGGGACTGCGGGTCAGAACCCTAAGCTTATCCAGAGGCGAGGTGTCCCAGCCACAGAGCACTGAAACCCCACCCCAACTGTAGCAGCCAAACCTGCAGAGGGACCCACGTCCAGCAGGGGGAGCCAGGCAGCCATAATTAAGGAGGATGAACTCAGGGTGGTAGAACCAGGCCCCCCCCAAGGGAACCAAGACCTGCCAGTCCTCCCCAAGCACCTTTCTGCCTCCATAGCTTTGTCCCCAGGGCCTGTTTTGTAGACGTGCCCAGGGGTTGCCCGGGCCAGCCCTTGCTGGGCCCCTCATCCACCCCAGAGCACCTTGCTCCTTACTCTGTTCAGACCCTCTTGCCATTACCCCAGCTTGGCTGAGCCCCCTCCACCTGCAAACCCTGACTGGTCCCCTGCCTGGCCGGTCCTGCTTTGTGCCTTGGCTTCTGCCGAACTCTGCCCGTGGGTCTCCCACCTCCACGCACATCCTAGCCATCCCATGTGGGGAGGGTTGGGGCCATCCCTTCTGGCCTGATGTAAGTGCTCGGGGGGAGGGGGGGAGTTCCCACACAGCCCTGGTTATCAGACCTTAGCCTAGGAGCAAGGGCAGCCCAGCTTCCGCCTCCTCTGTCCCCTACAACACGCCCCATCATTCCAGCCGCAACAGGGCTCCGGGACTTAGAATAAAGGCTCAGTGACTAACCCTGTGCACAGCCATGAGTAATTCTGATGTGGGGGTTCCAGGGGAGCCCAGACTCCTGCGCCAGGTAGACCTCTGTCCCAAGCCCTCCTGCCGGACCCCAACCAGGACTTCGAGGTCCTGGCTGCTGACCTGCACCCCTCTGCGGCAGGCACACTCCTGCCCTGGTTGGGGGAAAGCTGGAGGATCCCTGGCCCTCCCGACTGAACACGTGGGAGGATCCAACTAGTCTCACCAGGACCCCTCAGAGCCACTACCCGTGGCCACCTTCACACCGCCTTAGGGCCTTCCACGTGTCAATGCCATGGGAGGGCTGTTGCCTGGGCCACCAGCCAATTGGGTCACATGCCACATCCGTGCACCCAGCTGGGCCAGACCCTCCTCTCACCAGTTGACACAGGTCCTGTCATGGGCTTCCTGGCTGGACCTACCTGTGACCACATCAGGGTCTTGGCTGGGATGGAGCCAGAAGCAGCCACCATAGGGTCTCAACAGAGGCCAGCTGGTCCCTGCTCCCTGCGTTGGCTCCCTCATCTGTAACAGGAGGAGCTGGAGCAAACCAGAGGGGTCCACAGGATGCCCACAGTGGTGACCCAGACGGTCAGGTGGCTACTGTGGTATACCCAGCATGACTGGCCAGGGTGCGATGGGATAACGTCCCCAGTCCCCATCCCGGCTCACCTGCTTCCGCGTTTTCACACTTGCTGAACCTTCAACTTCAGGACACATCACCTTGCTGAGCCCTGCCCCCCCCCCCCCTTTCCCCTTCTGCCCCTGCAGGCCCCCGACAGCACACACCAGTTTTCAGCCTGGCCACCGGGTCTGGTCATGCTTCCCACTCGCTGCTCTGTGGCCACAGGCAGGTTGCTCAGCCTCTCTGAGCCTGAGTTTCTTCCTCCAAAAGGTGCACGGAAGCTGTGCCATGAGCCAAGGCCGGCTCACCGAGAGAGACAGTCCAGGGAAGAGCTGGGCAGGCCGTGGCTCTGCAGCCTGGCAGGTGCAGTGTTGTGTGGTTATTTGTCTGGCCTGGGCCTGGGGCTGCCCTGGAGGCTTAGCCTGCAGGGGGCAGGCCAGCAGGTGGCCTCCTGTACTCACTGGCTGCTTCCTGCTCCCACCCACTCTGAACTGTGGGAGCCTCCCTCCCCAGAAGCAAGAAGACCCCACCACCTATGACAGCCCAGTCCCCCAAATCCCTCACTGTAGAGCCCTCAGCCAGACCTGGACTCCCATGGGGCTGTGCACGAGCCAAGAGTGACCCCTCCAGCTGCCAGCCCCAGGCTCGGGTCAGTGCCTCCGCTTGGCCATGACGCTGGCTGGCTGGGCACATGCCGCCCGTAATGCAGATGGTGGTCATCCGGCAGCTGGACCCGGGCTGTAGGCAGGTCGGGAAGTCCCTCCAGAAGTCACCCCTCCTGTTCAGCCTTGGAGGTCTGCTTGGTGGACTGGCCCCAGAGCAGGTGTGGTACACTCTCCACCATCAAGGCTGCCCACCTGGTGCCCACATGCCCTCCCCGCTCCTGGTACTCAGCTGTGTGTCTACTCCTGCCTGGCTCTGCTCCAGCACCCACAGCGCAGAAACACTGCCACACACGGCACCAAACCGAGGCACCACATGGAGTCCACGTGTGCCTAATGCCCCTGCAGGGGACACACGCTCAGAGGTGTGCATGCTCCCAGGCACGCGCGCACACACACACACACACACACACACACAGGCACCTGTGTGCACAAGCAGACACTGGCACACACGGTGAAGGCAGAGATACCTGTGTATGAACACACACACTACCCTCGAGGCAGGACCCCTCCATGGGAAGGGGTGATGCTGGGAAGCTGCCAACCGCGTCTCAGCATCTCTCTCTCCTGGGGCTGAGGAGCAGGTGCCACAGTGCTGGGGCCCCAGGGGCCAATAGAGGAGCATCACCTGGCACAGCCCAGCCCCTCCCCTGCACCGGCCTGGGAGCGTCACTGCGGGAGCGGGTGGCTGACAGACAGGGTGCTGGTGAGGCATGGAGGTGAGCGGGGACCCTGGCGCTCCAACCCTGCACCAGCCCCGTGCCCCAGGGCTCAGCTGCAAGGGCTGACATGCTCCGCAGGCTGGGACGGCTAGTGTCTGGCACCTGGTTACAGCCCTCTGCATCCAACAGCCGATGCCTGGCTCCAGAGCACCACCCTCCACCGGAAGCTCTTTGTGCTCAGGTGAGGGGTAGGGGCCGGGGTGGGGCCATCACCAGCTGGACCCCAGGACCAGGCTTCTAGTCTGGTATCTGCAGGCCTGGGCAGTTAGCTGAGCCTCCATTATGCCCCCCGCGTGGGGGTTACCTCCCTGTCTTGCTCCTGGTCCATGTGGAATCTGGAGGCCCATTTGCACCCCAAACTGTGAGACTGGGCAAGGGTGTGCCCAGGAGTGGGCAGTATGGACCAGCCTCCCAGAAATCCCTCACCTCCCAAGACCTGAGTCCCCAAGCTTCAGAGCTTTGGTCCCACCACAGACAGGCCTGCCCAGGGCGGGGGGGGGGGGCTGCACTGTGGGCTGTGTCTGTGACCAGGACTTAGGCCCAGAGAAGGGGAGAGAGCTGCCTGGGCCGCCCAGATGGGGAGCGAAGCCATGGCCATTCGGGGAAGGTTGGGAGCCACCAGGTCTCCCCCAGCGACCTGTGGGGACTCGCCGGGACTGTTGCCCCCTCCCCTGTAGCTGTCAAGAGATCTCTTCATTGGAGACACCACAACCCAAGCCACAGCCGGTGGGTCCCCTGAGCCCCAACTTGCTATAAAAAAGGCCTGGCTCCCCCTAGAGCGGCTCCCTTTTGTTCCAAAGATGCTTGTTTGTGGGGTGTACCCCTCCCCAAAGGCAGAGACACAGCAGCAGCCTGGCTCAGGCTGCCTGCTCTGCAGGGCGCCCATCCTGTATGACACTGGACAGAAGCCCTTCCTGTCTGTGCCCCTCGGCCAAGGCTGGTGGGGAAGCCAGTGGGGGCGGCCTCATCACTTCCTGTCTCCTCTCCAGCTCGTCCTGGACCCGCTGCCTGTGACCCCAGCGCCCGCCGTGCACCGTGCACAGCCATGGGCCCCGGAGCAGGTGTGCTGACGCTCTCAGGGAAGGGGCTCCCGGGCGGCATGGCGGCAGAGGTGGGCGTATTCACCCGCCGGCCGCCATGTCCTCCCAAGCCTGCGATCGAGGCCCTGCCCAGGACGCCCCATGGCCAGCTGGGGCTCAGGGAAGGGCAGGAGAAAGGCAGGCAGGGCACTGGGCCTGAGAGTCCTAGAGGGGACAAGGAGAGGTCACGGCTAGAAGGGGTTCAGGAGGAAGTGGTCGCCCCCATTCCCTGTGTTTGAGGGTCTTGGGTCTCAAACTGTGAGGACAGAGCCACAAGGATAGAAAGTACCAGTGCATTGGTACACACAGTCCACCCATGTATATCTCATCACACATATGTGAACATGGGAGGGCACGTATGTGTACACATGCTTCCAGACACACACAAAAGGACACACGCCACCAGCTGCACATAGGTACATATCATCACACACATGTAAACTGCCACACCACCAGATATGCATTATATTGGGCATACATGCCACCGCAGGCGTGTATGTGCCACCATACACATGTGCACATCACACGTACATGCCATTGGGAACACACGCATGCAATGTCCGACAGACACATGGATAGTCAGACACACCATGCTCAGGCCTAGGCTGCTACACACAGGTGATCAGGGCCACATGGCATCCGAGGTCTCCAAGTTGGGATAGTCACAGGTCCACCCAGGACACAGGATCACAGGGTCCCTGGGCCAACCCCCTGCTGGACCTCCCACACGTGCTCCCTCAGCAGGGCTCAGCCCTCCGCTTATGGCCTGTTCTGTTCCAGGCGCCCTGTTGAGCCGGGGCCTGGTCCTCTGCATGTGGCTCACCATTCACTGCGCTGGTCCCTACGCCGAGGCCTTCTCCCAGGAAGGGCGGGCTGCCAGCAGGGCCGACCTGTGGGCCAGGTGAGTGCCCTCCCTGCCCGCCTGCAGCTGGCTCCCTGGCAGGCCTGGAGGAGGGGGTGGGTGAGAAGGAGGGACCACTTCTAGGGGCTGCCGATGATGACCAGGCCTGGCTGTGGCCGGGCCCCCGACTTACGGCTCTGAACCGGGAGCCTGGCCATCACCCACTCAGGTCCAGGTCACTCATCCATCTTGCCCTCAAATGGCCAGAGTTCAGTGTCCTACATCAGACTCATGTGCCCAGGCCACCAAAGCTGGCTGCGGCTAGGGTCCCTCCTGAGACCCCCTCTGCTCCCACTGTTCCCCTCCGCCTGGCAGGTGATCACTGCTCATCCTGAGTCCTAATACTTCCTTCAACGCTGAGGCTTTGCTGCCCCCTCAGGCCCCAAACAAACCCTACATTGTTTCCGTGCACTTTCCGGGGGGTCCGTGCTTAGGCTCGGCTGTCCTCTCCTTCCTGGGGAGTTGGAGGTCATTGATTAGCCATCAACTGATCAATCAATTGACTGACCAGACAAGGCTGGAGGCCCAGTTGGACCACTGGACCCAGGTTAAAGCCCCAGAGACCCCTGGGTTAAAGCCATGACCCAGAGACCCAGGTTAAAGCCCTGCCTGCCGTACTTCCTGTGTCTTATTCCTTTGGTGTTGAGAGTCTAACCTCCACCCTGCATGCTGCCGTCTGGGCTGCCCCTCCCGCCCCCCCCCTCCACCCTCACCACCTGCCTCCTTCTGCTCAGTGCCAACACCTCCCTCCTACAAGGCTTCCGGTGCCAGGCAGCCAGCCAGCTGTCCCAGGACCAGCTTTCAGCTCTGATCAGGAGGATGGCATCGCAGCAGGTGCTCCTCAAAGCCTGGCAGGTAAGAAGCCCTGGTTGGCATGAGTGGACTGGGGTGTTGAGGGCAAGAACAGGCTCCCAGGAGAAGGGCCCTGGTGATGGGTAGGAAGGGAGAGTGTCCCCCGCAGAGGACACAGGCCAGCAAGGGCCAGGACTGTTTGGCCGGGCTGGTCTCTATGCCAACCTGCCAATTTCACAACCAACTAAGAGGTATCTCTTAGGCTGACTCCGAGGTGACAGGAGCCTGCCCACCTCCAGTATGGCCCACTTTGGGTTGTTGCCAGGACTCTGCCAATTGCCCACAGACCCCAGCCTGTTTGTGGCTGGGTGAGGGCTTGTTCACCAGGCTGCACTGGCCTCTTTCTGCCTCCTTCTGGCATGTGCTGCCTCCTTGAGGTAGATCTTCCCTCTGGCCCTTGGGGTATATCTTCCAGCCTGCTGGCCTTTCCCCCACCTGGGCCATGAGAGGGGGCCAGCTGAGCCCACCTCAATTCACAGCTCACATAAGCATGGCCTGCCCTGAGTTGGAAGGAAGGAAGGAAGAAAGGATATCCATCATTCTCATTATAAAGTTAATATAAATCTACACTAATAAAAGAGAAGCGTGCAAATTGACCATCACTCCACTACACCCACAGCCGATCAGGAGTGAGTATGCAAATTAGCCCAACTAAGATGGTGGCAGCCACAGAGCTGGAGTGAGCAGGAGGCTTGGGTTTCCCCTAGCAATGAGGAAGCCAAGCTTTCCGCCCACCCTGGCCAGCCCTGGCCTCCACTCAAGGAGGCACTAAAAAAAAAGGAGGAGCTGGGAGCCTGGATTGCTAGGGGCATGGCCAGCCTGAAAACAGCCCTCAGCTCCTCACCCCATCAGTGGGGGTCAGTTGGAGGTGATCAGGACATGGGGGGAGGGGGCGGCAGTTTGGGCAGCAGGCCAGCAGGGGTCAGTTGGGGGCGAGCATACTGACATGGGAACAGTTGAGGGCGATCAGGTTGGCAGGGCACAGTTAGGGGCTAGCAGGCCAGCAGGCAAAGTGGTTAGGGGCAATTAGGCAGGTAGGCAGGCAAGCAGGCGAGCAGTTAGGAGCCAGCAGTCCTGGATTGCAAGAGGGATATCCAACTGCTGGTTTAGGCCCGATCCCTGTAAACCAACAGTTGGACATCCTTCGAGGGGTTCCAGATTGGAGAGGGTGCAGGCCGGGCTGAAGGATACTCTCCCCTCCCCCCCGTGTACGGATTTTGTGCACCGGGCCTCTAGTTAGTAATAAAAGGAAGAAACACATACAAAAATAAAAGAAGAAAAACAACTAGCAATAAATTTGAAATGACCTCAAAGGAGGCCAGGCCATACAGGGAGTCAGGACAGGGGTGGCATTGGAAGGAGCCTCATGGTGCAATGGGCAGGGGTGGACAGGGCCTGAGTTGGGGGGACAGTTATATTCATGCTGGGTTTGACCCATCTGAGGCCATTCTGATGTGGAGGTTGAGGCAGGCAGAGGAAGCCATCAAGTCCAGGTGGCACAGAGCAGGCAGGTGGGAGGAGGGAACTAGAAGGCTATGGGGCCGGACATAGGGGTCTTGGTCCCAAAGGCCTAACTGAGGGGGAGTGACATGGCGGAGAGGAAGGGGCTGGCGAGGGAGTGAGGCATCATTCGCCCTACCCAGCTCAGCTGCCTGGCCAACCTGGCCGCCCTGCATGGCCTCCAGAGTGACTTCCCGCTGCACCCGCCTGACCTGCTGCTCTTCTACAAGTGAGCGTCCCCCCACTCCCAGCCCCTCCCAACACCCAGCAGACTGAGCATGCTTCCTCTGGGTCCTGGGGACCCCAGCTCCCCAGGGGCACCTGGGCCACCCCAACAGCCCCCCACCTGCCTGCAGCCTGGGGCAAGTAAGGGAAGCCGACTGCCGGGCCTTCACCCGCCGGGCTGCCCAGGGGGACACGGAGCTGCTGGCCAATCTTCCGGACCAGAGGGCCGCCCTGCAGCACTCCGCCTTGGCCTGCCTGGTAGGCCCCGGGGCGGGGCAGGAAGGTGGGAGGGACGTGGGCCGGGCCCTCGCTGACCTGCCGTTCCCGCAGGGTGTGTCCCACCCACCGCGGCTCAGCGCCTCAGACTTGCTGCTCCTCGGGGCCCTGGTGTGCGACATGGAGGCATCCAGCATTGTGGCCTCGGACCCCCACGTGCTGCAGAACCTGCAGTGCTGCCCCCGGCTGACCCCGGCCCAGCAGGCTGCTCTCAACACTCTACTGACCAGCGGGAGGACCGTGCTTGGGTGGGTGGGGCCCATCCCCTCTGCGAGGCCTCCCTCCCGGAGATGAGGCAGGAGGCAGCCTGGGGTGTGGGCCCAAGAGTTCACTGAATGCCACAGCCCTGCTGATTTCCCTCTTCTAACATCGTTCACAGCCTTCGGGGCACACAGGTTTGGGGGTGCTGCCAACCCCCACTGGGCCCCTCAAACCCCTGCCCTGAAGCCTGGGTGGGAGTGTCTGGGCGGCAAAGTGTCCCCAGCAGGGCAGGCCCTGGGAACTGAGCACTCAGGGACAGGCAGGCAGCCTCCAAGGGCCAGGGTGCTGCTCCAGACCCAGCTGCCCCTTCCTGCACACCAGGCCCCCCATCTCCTGGAACCTGGAGGGGCTGCAGGCTCTGGGACCACTGGCCACCTACATCAGCTCCAGCCTATGGGTGCAGGTGCAGGAGGTAGGGTGGTGCCCTGGGGCAGAGAGGGGGGGCGCGGGGAGCGGGATGTGAACTGGCCCCAGACACAGAGAGGGCTGTCCGGCAGACCCTCTAGGCCTGAGGGCTAACCATTCAGCCGTCCAGTGCCTGAAGGGCATCCCCAGTTGCTGCCATCATAGAGTTCCTAGCTGTGGGATGGGAGGAGGAACCAGGAGCCGGAGTCTTCAGCACCCCCTGCCAGGCCGTGGGCCTGGGCTTCTTTGGCAGCATGGTGGCTGCATGTCGGGCAGGGCGGCTCAGCCAGCGTGACACCAGGCGCTTTGTCACCAGCTTTCTTGAGGCCAGGGCCAAGGCCAAGTTGATGTCCTCACGACCCAAGCGGGGCACAGGTCAGTGTGGCCACGATGGCCTTGGGGACGCTGCTCTGGACTCCTGATCCTTGGGTGGGGGCACCCAATACACGGCCACCCCTGCCACCCAGCCTCCTGAGCCTGTGCCCAGCATAGGCCGGCCAGAGGCAGTGAGGCTGGGCTTCTGGGCCAGGGCTGGGCTGGAGGTCAAGGTCAGGCTTGACTTGGTCTGCTGTGAGCCAAGTTCTTGGCGAGGGGTCAAGCTTGGGGAGAGAGTCACGGGTGGGTCAGGGTTAGCAGGGAGGGTGGAGCCTGCAGTCAACCCCTCCCCCAGCCACAGGGCGACCCTGCGTCCGAGGCAACATCACAGCAGCCACACTGCAGGACGACCTGTTCCTGGTGCACTACAACTGCTCCCAGCTCGAGTCCTGCCTGGGCAGCCACGTGCTCAGGGCCAACCTGGACCCCTTGCTGCAGCACCCACTGCCTGCTGAGTGCCAGCGGGTCGTCAAGGCCAAGTTGGCTCGGGTATACACTGGACACTGGGGGGAGGCAGGTGGGTGGCGGGCGCTAGGGGTGGGCATGACCCTCTTGCCCACCTCAGATCTACCCAAGGGGCGTCCCCGAGGAGCAGCTCCGGCTCATCAGCTCGCTGGTCTACCTGTACTCTGTCGTGGAGATCAGCCAGTGGAACATCACCTCCAGGGACACCGTCGTGGCCCTGCTGGCCTCGGACGTGGCCCTGGAGAACCAGACGGAGGTGAGGGCAGGACCTGCAGCACTGCCCCTGGCTGCTCTCAACACACTGCTGACCAGTGGGAGGACCGTGCTTGGGTGGGTGGGGCCCATCCCCTCTGCGAGGCCTGAGCATGCTTGGAGAGGGTGCAGGAAGGTGGTGAGGCTGGGGGTAGGGGAACCCGCCGACCATGAGGCCAGCAATCCCAGTCCCGCTGACCCAGCACTGCCCCCAGGCCATCCTGCAGAAGTTCCTGGACCACAAAGGCAACATCACGAGCGCCCTGCTGGTGGCCATCGGGGGCGGCCGCCTCTGCTGGATGAGCCCCCGGCAGATCCAGGCCATCCAGCCCTCGGAGTTCCGGTGAGCCCGCCCAGCGACAGGCTCGCTGCACCCGGGTCAGCCAGCGCCTCACCAGGCAGAATTTGAGGGGCAGGCTGAGGCTCAGGAGGGGTCTGGGCCAGGCCGCCCACCCCAGGTGTCTTAGTTTCCTACAGCTGCCAAACTGAGTTCTTTAAAATTTATTTCTGGTTATTCCTCACCCAAGGATACTTTTTCCATTGATTTTCAGAGAGAATGCAAGGCAAGGAAGAAGGAGGGAAGAGAGGGGGAGAGAGAGAGAAACATTAATGTGAGAGAGACATATCCGTTGGTTGCCTCCTGCACTCGCCCCACAACCCAGGTGTGTGCCCTTGACAAGGAATGGAATCAGCAAACCCTCTGGTGCGCAGGCCAGTGCTCCAACCACTGAGCCATATCCGTCAGAGCTCAAACTGAGTTTGAAGAGAACAGAGATGTATTCTCTCGCAGCCTGGAGGCCAGGAGTCTGGAGTTAAGAGGGCCAGGCTTCTTGTGTTGCTGGCAGCCCTTGGCCTTTCTTGGCTTATGACCTCATCACCCTCTCTCTGCCTCTGTCATCACTATCTCCCGCCGTGTCTATGTCTAAATTTCCTTCTTTTATGACACCAGCCATTAGGTCTTAGGGCCCACCCTAACCCAGTGGGACCTCATCTTACTTTGATTATATCGCTACGTAGCGAAGAGCCTCTTTCCAAATAAGATCACATTCTGAGGTTTGGGGTGGACACAAGTTCTGGGAAGACAGCCCAGTAGAGCAGGCCAAAGGACACCTGTGGTTTAGGGAGAGAGGGCCAGGGCCAGCCATCCCTAGGAGGAGGGGCTCCCAGCCTGCCTGTCTGTCTCCCCTCCCCAGGCTGGCCGGGGCCCTGGACACCTCCTCCTGCCCTCAGAGCAGGAAGAACGAGCTCTTCGTCAAGGCCCGAGAGGCCTTCAGCAGCACCAGGATCACAGCTGCCTACTACGACTTCATCCGCCCCTTCCTTGGTAAGACCCCACCCGCCCCGTGTGCAGACCCCCTTCCTCCGGAAGCCCCGCCCCCTCCTCAGCCCTCCCTTCCCCAGGCGGTGCCCCCACCGAGGAGCTGCAGCGCCTGGCCCAGGCCAACGTCTCCATGGACATCCACACCTTCACCAACCTGAACCCCCACGTGCTGCAGGTGGGCCCCGGGGGCTGTCCCTGGGGTGGCGTGGGCAGGCTGGCCAACCCAGGGAGCCCTGGGCCCTAGGTCAATCCTTCAGGCTGGTTCTGCCGCATCTCGCCCCTGCTCATTCCTGCCGGGTCTCCCCTTGGTCCTAAAGCTGGGCCCTAAAGCTGGGCCCCTTCATGACTCTCGGTCCCTCCCCCCCTGACCCCACTTCCCTCGAAGAACCTAAGCGTTGACAATGTGAGAACACTGCTGGGCCAGAATGTGGGGGACCTGCAGAAGGCACGCAGCCACCCAACCATCAGCTCCTGGCTCCGCAGCCTGAACAGGTCGGCCCTGGACGAGCTGGGCCTGGACAGGGGCCCCGCCGGCCCCACCAGTCCCACCAGGACTCACAACACCCCCTGGACATCCCATCTGACTTCCACACGGGAAGGGCCTGGGGAGGACGCCCGCACCTCAGGTACAGCCCCACACCCAGCCCTCCCCCCCCCCCCCCCCGGCAGGCCTTCCCCTGCCCCTACTTGGCCTTGTCTGCCCAGGGCCTCCGTGGACCCCGAATGGCTCCTTGTGCCCGATCTCAGACTCTGTTGGCCAACAGTTCTCCCATTTGCCTCTCAGTTGACATTTGTGCGACACTGGCTTCACCCTGCATCACCCACTGAGTTATCGCAGGGTGCAATCACCTCCTCCAAAACCCGCTGACCTGCAGAAAGCAGAGGCCGAAGCCCAGGGAGCGGGGAGCGTTGAGATCTGCTGGGGCCCAGAGAGTGGCCACACATGGTCTTCCCCGCCCGCCTGCCCGTAGGGATAGTGTGAGCCTGGAGCCCAGGGGGAGGGGATGGCCCTGGGTGCAGCTCCCAGCGAGGACTGATGGGCATTCTCTCCATGTTGCACCTTCAGGCAGCCCACCAGCCCACCTGGGGCCCCTGCCACTTGCTGTGGCTCTGCCCTCCAGCCTCCTGTGGCTGCTGTATCGGGGTGCCCTGCGGCCTGTTGGGACTCACAATGTCCTCTGAAGACGGGGCTGTGCTGGTAGGTGACTGGCCGCCAGCCCAGGCTAAGGGGCAAGCCCCAGGCACGGAAAGCCTCGCTGCAGGGCAGGAGCCTGCCACGCCCGGCTCCCAGCACCTGGAGCTGCACAGGGGGCCTGGGCAGAGCTGTGACAACTGGGTCCCAGCCCCTGCCCCCCTGCCGGCTGAGGGAGACATGCCCCGCCCGCTGGTCTTCAGGACAAAGAACTGGGGCTGGGGAGTGGGCTCCATGGCACTTACTTCGCTGGCTTTTTGTCTCCTTTTACTTTGCTGACTAATAAAGGACAAGGTGATCTTCCTGCGTGTGTCCCTTTGCTCTGGCCCCGAGGAGCGGCACAGAGACCCTCTTAGCTGTCTCCGGGGGAGTCACCAAGGCCCCCTGGGTTTGCTGGCCTCCCCTTGGTCCTAAAGCTGGGCCCCTTCATGACTCTGGGTCCCTCCTCCCCTCGCCCCCACTTCCCTCGAAGAACCTAAGCGTTGACAATGTGAGAACACGGCTGGGCCAAAACGTGGGGGACCTGCAGAAGGCACGCAGCCACCCAACCACCAGCTCCTGGCTCGACAGCCTGAACACGTCGGCCCTGGACGAGCTGGGGCAGTGGAACAGCATCAGGAAAGCCCCAGATCCCACCTCACACTCCCCTCCTCCTGCTTGGAGTCCCTGCCCTGCTTCCCCTCCTTTCCAAGTACAAACAGAAGAACTGAAACTCAGGGAGCCATGTCCCCAGCCCCACCCCTGAGAGCACCTCAGCCAGTCAGCCCCTCCTCCGCAAACACACAGCCACCAGGGCCCAGGACACCACCGCTGTCAGCCCCACCCTGCCCCTCAGAACACTATAGCCAGAAGGGCCTCCCTCACCCCCACCCTGGCCCCCCATCCCCAGCACCACAGGTCACCTCTTTGGAGGGGGGAGGGGTTCTCTTTTATTGAGCCCCAACCCCCTGGGATGGAGCAGGGACCACCCAGGCCGCTCCCACCAGCGGGAATCTCCACGGCAGGGCCCGTTCAGCATCCAGAGCCGCGTGCTCAGTTCAGCAGCAAAGCCAGGAGCAGAGCCGGGGTCACGGTGAACGCAGACCCGGGTCCAACGAGGTGGGAGCCCCCCAAGAGGGCCTCTGCACAGAGAGGGAGCGACTCAGACCCTCCACCTCGTCTGCCCCAGCCCCGCCCGCCGGCCGCCCCGCCCACCTCGGAAGCTGAGGTCTAGGACCAGGTAGCCATTGGGGGTGCCACCGCGGAGCCCCAGCCCCAGGCTGTCCAGGTCCTGCTGCCGCTGCCGCAAGATCCAGTCCCGCACGGGGCTGCTCGCCTCCTCTGCCTTCAGGCCGGCCAGGTTTGGGCCCAGAAGTTTCTGCACCTCGGCAACGGTCAGCGGCTGCCAGAGGCCCCAGGCGACTGTCAGGGCCTCCCCGCCTCTGTGCAGAGGCTGCTGGCCTCTGCTGTGCCCAAACCACCCAGTGTTCCCAGACTCCGTCTCGAAGCCTTGGCTCAATGGCTGCCCCTCCCAAGACCCCACCCTCTCAGGGCCCTGCCCTCGCAAGACCCCCGTTCCAAGACAAGCCCTTCTCCGTGGTCCCTCCCTTCCCACAACCCTCCCTCCGAGGGCCCCACCCCTCTGGGGGCCGCACCAACAAGGCCTCTTTCCGCAGCTTCTTGAATGTGGCCACGTCCATGCTCACGTTCTGCTGAACAAGAGCCCGCAGGTCCTCCGAGGAGGCCCCACCTGCGCTCGGGGAGAGGGGCCCACGCATAAGACTCACAACGTCCCCCCACCCTCACCCTCTGACCACAAGCCAGGAGGAGCCCCCTTCCTGTACTGGGACTCCCCTGATGTGCCTGGTGACCCCCTGACTCTCCCAGTCAGGGTGGAGGCTGGAGCTGGCCAGGTGCCTGAGCCGGGGTCAGAACACACAGGGCCTCAGCCTGTCTGTGCTTAGAGCAGTGGTCTGCAAACTGCGGCTCGCAAGCCACAATGCAGCTCTTTGGCCCCTTGAGTGTGGCTCTTCCACAAAACACCATGGCCTGGGCCAGTCTATTTTGAAGAAGTGGCGTTAGAAGAAGTTTAAAAATTTTGGCTCTCAAAAAGAAATTTCAATCGTTGTCCTGTTGACATTTGGCTCTGTGGACTAATGAGTTTGCCGACCACTGGCTTAGAGGGTAATGGAGGACATCCTGACCCCTGGTCACACCACTAGAGGGAAGCCCAGGGAGGTGAGAAGCTGGCAGCACCGAGGGGGCCCTCAGGCATCCCCACTCCCACCCCACGTCCTCCTGGCTCACCCAGGAAGGGCTTGATCCTTGCAAAATAGGCAGAGCCGCTCATGTTCTGGAAAGCGGCGCGGGCCTTGTGATAGAGAACGTCCATCTGCCGTGGGCGGCACGCGTCCAGGTCCTGAGGCCTGACCACCCTGGGGAGGCAGCGCGGGGGCCAAGCGGTGAGCTGGGAGCACAGCACGCCGTCCCACCAGCAGGCCCCGGGCACTCACCAAACCACATCTTGTTGCACGTAGGCCAGCTGCTCGGGGCTGAGGGAGCAGAGGTAGGCGGGGTGAAAGCTGGCCAGCAGGTCCAGGGTGGCCCTGTCCAGCTGGCCCCCGCCCGCCACATAGCGGGCAATCAGGGCAGCCACCTGCGGGAGGATCCCAGTGAGATGCCCGGGGGCAGGAAGAGACACATCCTCTCGGGCCTGCACCCCCCTCCCCCGCTGCGGTGCTCCCCTCCCAATGGGTGGTCACCTGCGCATCCATTTTCCGCCCTTTGCTGATTTTAAGCAGGGACTTCACCGTCTCCAGGGACGTTACATTCCACTTGTGGATGTCCTCGGGGGTGAGCTCAAGGAAGAAGTAGCTCAGGTGCTGGATCAGGGACTCGGGGTACCCCTGTGGGTAGACCTGCCCGGGAAATTGACCGTGAGGGCCACGGCCGGTCCCAGGGGAAAGGCTGTGGCACCGCAAGCAGGCGGCGGGGACCCAAGTCAGGAGCTACCTGGTCCAGTTTGCGCTTCAAAACGGCGAGCTGCTGGTAGGTGAAGGGAATCTCGTTCACCCGGCCCATCTGCTCCGCCAGCCGGGCCCCGTCCACACAGGCCTCCAGCTCCCGCTCCGTGTAGAGGACGAGGTTCTCATCCACCACGTGGACCTCTTTCCCCGCGGGACAGGCCTTCTCTGAGGGGCAGGCAGGGGTCGGGGTTTTCCGGTCTGCCTCCGCTTCCTCCCACGCCCAGGCTGAGACCCTGGGCAGCACATGACCCGCTCAGGCCTCCGTTTAACCACTGGCTCCACGGGGAGAGCCCGTCCATTCTCCAAAACTGTCACAACTGAACCAGCGGAGCGGCCAGAAGGGGCCCCAGCACCAGCAGGTGAGCCCACACGCCAGCCCCCACCCTCAGGTGTCCTGACCCTGGCCGGGCTGGGCCCTGTGCTCACGCTCCGTGCCCTGCAGAGCCCTCGGGAGAAGGACGGCCGGTTCAGACTGCTGCCGGGACAGGTCCTGGGAGGCGTGTGGCAGCCGTGGGGTCACGACACCCTGAGGACAGAGCAGGGGTTCGGCTGAGCCACACAACCCAGCACCTAAGGACACCGCCTGAGGCCAGAGCACCCGCCCTGCCTCCCCAGAGCGCCCTTACCTGTCCTGTAGCTGCAGTCTGGGCCCAGGAGAGTTGCACCCACCCTGCAGGGCAGGGACACAACGTTTGAGCGGGTGGTTGGGGGCTGCTGGGTGTGCCTGCTGCAGGCCCTACCCTGGGGAGGAAGGGGGCAAAGCCATCCCTTCCCTACCCCCAGCCCCAAATACACCCCACAGGGGCGGGAACGGAAGGCCAGGCTCCCGTACCCGGCCAGGTCCAGCCCCGCACCAGGGAGCCCAGGCCTCCCACAGCCTCTTCCTGGGACACCATGCTCAGGGCAGTCAGACACCTGTCCCCCAATCCCCTCACTTTGGCCTGAGTCCCCATAACATCACCGCCTGCGCCAGCCTCCAACCCTGCGGGCACCACAGGAAGGCACACAGCTGACAGCCTGCCGGGAACTCGGCACTGCTGAGATTCAGGACGCCGGGAGGTTTGAGACATCTGCCTGGGACCTGAGGCACCGGCCTTTCCTGAGATCCCGATCCCCGAAGAACCCTTGGCTGCCCTCCATCTCAGCCCTTGGCAGCAGCCCATCCCCTACCCCCTCCCCACCCCCGTACTCACCGAGGCTGAGAAGCAGGAGCAGGAGGCCGTGGGCGGGGGTCCCGAGAGGCCCCAAGGTGGACCGAGCACTCCGCAAGGCCATGGTCTGTGGAGGACAGCCACGCTGATGTCCCACCGCTCGCCCGCCCACAGCCAGTGATGGGGTCTCAGGCCCCTGCAGCCGTGTCCGGGCCACCTCCGGGCCACTCTGGAGACCAAGCAGTCACCTGGCCCGCCCGGCCAGCCCCTCTCCGAGAAACGGCCCCTCCTGCCAGGGGTGTGGGATCTGAGTCACCCCTGCCCCCAGCTGGAACCCTGCCTCCCGGGGCAGGCAAACAGCTGGTCCATCTCTCCTTCTGCAGCGCAGGGCGGGCAGAAGGGGGCAGGGCCTCAGTTTCCCCATTTGCACCAGGGGAACTAAGCAGGTCAGGACTGGGGGTCCTGCTGAGTCCCCCCCCTCAACCTGGGGCACGGCCATCTGCCCCTCCACACCCTGCCGCACCCACAGCCACAGGTGCTGGGCTTTGTGCAAGCCCAGGGCCCAGACAGGTGGACAGGGCTGGTGGTTTCCAGTCTGAAAGTCCCTCTCAAAACAGAGGCCTGGGTGGGTGCCAAAGGGCGATGCCACCTCCCGCCTTCCAGCCCCTGGGTGGGGCAGTGAGTGGGTAGGCCTTCCGGTGGGGGTGGAGACACCCTTGCACCCATGTGAGGAGGTGGTGAGGAGGGTGGTCCCAGGGTAGGGTGGGGCCTGAAGGAGACCAAACCACCTCTGTTCTTGCCCAGGGAGGCCCAGGGCTGGAGGCTGCCTGGGGCCCAGTGGAGGGGAGCCATCCCCTCCCCCAAACCTTTGCCCAGTCCTGTGTCAGCCCCACCCCTGGCTCATAAATGGGGGGGGGGGGGGGGCACATTCATGCTTCAGCAACCCCTTTCAGCTGTGCAAAGCCAGCCTGCAGGGAGTGTCCTGAGGAGTGGCCAGGCCCCAGGGAATCCCTCTGCCTCCCCCACCAGGCCCCAGAGGAGGAAGGAGAAAAGCAAACCAGAAAATGGGCAGTGGGTGGGGCCAGGCAAGAGCCGCACCTCCCCCTGCTCCTCCCCTCAGCCCCCACCCAACCCCCTGAACCAGGAGCCCCCGGCACCCCGGGTGGGCCACCCTGGGAGCCTCTGCCAGCCGCCATGGGCCCTGGAATCAGCATCCTGCCCTCC